ACATCTTTCAAAAAAAACCTTGAATTTTGTCACATCTTCCAGTTAGACAAACAAGAAAATAACAACCTATCAGGACTTCCTTCAAATCCTATTTTTAATAGGCCTTTCTAGAGAGCTTCCAATATTCTATGTCCTTAATATCCATTTTGTGTTAATCAAACTGGTCATAAACCCCAAGGTTTTGGTCAATTTTCTACAATCCTTATTTCTTCTCAACACAATGCTGTTTCTCTTCAGTTTTTCCCTTCCCTTTGTTAGTGTCACTCTGATACTCTATCACTGGGCTTACTTAGTAACCCCAGTCTTATCCACTTTAGTTGGGTTTCTACAGACACTTCCTAATCTGTTATGAACACATTTACTACACAATGATAATCAGGAAAAGTACTGAGTTAGCATGAAGGAACCTCAGTTTGAATCTTATTGCTATTCCTTTCTATATCCACAAAAGTCCCTTTTATATCTATACTTTTCAGGGTCGTCATCATGACCATCATTTGGCCAGCATGTCAAATCAAATACATATTGAAGGGTGAGTGGGTACATTGATAGGTGAAAATTCCTTAAAATTCTTAAATTCTTTGAGCTTTTGATTCTGTCAATAGGAAAAAATGAATATTCAATTGACACAACTTTAAAAAAATAAAGAGAGCACAACAAAAAGTAAAAATAAAAAATTCAAGAAAAGATTTTAATCATAGAAAAAGAAAACAAGATTATAAAGAAAAAAAGTCTTCATAAAAGTAAATAGGAGTAGTAGCCTGAAGGAAAGTGTAGCTCTTGATTTATAAAACAGTTTATAAAAGCAGAGGTCAAAGATACATGGGGGTAGAAGGAAACCAAACTGGAAAATCAGGAAGTAGAGATATCAATTAAAATATTCTCTATATGGAGCCTTAATATATTTAATATAATATGGTTTACACAAAGGTATCCTTAACTTCAAGTAAAATGATTCCTTTCTAGGACTAGCCTGATCTTGTTTATGAAGAAAACATGATACCACAGCTTTGTGATGTATAACAAAAGAAATTTTGTTATCAGTGAAACTGTCAAAAATATCAGGACAAACTCTATACCCAGGCTTCTCAGGTAAATTATAAATCAGAATTAACACACAATTGACTGTTGGCGAATGTTTTCCTTTTTTAAAATTTGGTTTATTAATTCATTCATTTCAAGGATTTTTGCTTGATTTCTTTCAGAATCTTTATGTCTTTATTGAAATAATCTTTCACCTCCTAAAATTTACATAGATAAAATTTATCTATGATTTCACTCCTTACATCATTCTTTACATTGCAGAACAGTTTTACCATGTGCATTCTAAACTTTTTCTCTGAACTTTCTTCTACTATGTTGTCAATGGACTCTATTATTAGGGCACCTTGGTTTGTTTGGGATGCTTTTTTCCTTACTTTTTTGTTACGCTGTTTTTGTATCTTCCCATCTATAGCATGGAACTGAGGCGGTACAGTTTCTACTCTGTAGACTTATTGGCTTCTAGTACCTCACCTTTAAGGGGGAAACAAATAATAACAGCACCCAGAGCAAACAATATACAGCCTTAAACCAAATAGCTCCTATTAAAACATTTAGAGTTTTGTAACACTAATGAAAAATAATGTGTTCAATGATCATCAACAATATAAACAGTAAGTCTGCAAAAAGGTTTACAACTTGACATGGTGGACAAAGTGAGAACAGAAATGGGGTAGGATGTGATGTTTGTGAAGAAAAAGGAAAAAAAGATAGAAGTGAAAATTATAAGAAGAGTAAAAGAGGAATTAATAGAGGTTGGCAGTTAGCAGGAGAAAGAAAGAGATTCTAGGGAAAGAGATAAGTGAGAGGATAGGTAGATAGTAAAAATATATAAAAAGAAGGAAAAACGAAAAAATAAAATGAATAAAGTAAAAATAAAAGAATACACAACACAACTATTCAGATTTCTCTATCCTCTGGTACATAAAAAATACTGAATTTCAAAAATGGTAGAGGGCTGGGCTTGTGGCTCAGCAGTAGTGTGCTTGCCTAGCACGTGTGAGGCCCTGGGTTCAATCCTCAGCATCATCTAAAAATAATAAAAAATAAAATAAGGTATTCTGTCCAACTACAACTAAAAATTAAAAATTAAAAAAAAATGTTTAAATGGTAGAAATGTGAAAGGAAAAAGAATGTGAATCCCAATGAATAATTGAACAATTGTTTCTGTTGAAGTTCAAGTTTCCCAGTAAGTAGGAATTTTCTAGAGTTTGATGATAGCTCCACCCTCAGGATGGTTGGGTTACTAGCATGAGAGGGTTAGTCCTGGAGATGGAATTCCTAGAAGCAGTGTGTAGGCTTAGGTACACTCTAAGTCTCTTTCCTGAGAGCCCAGTGGTCTGGAGATTTTAAGTCAGCACACCTCCAAGGCCCAACAATTTCCAGGCCACATTGAAAGACTTGGCTCACTACTTCACCTGTGGACCCCATGATTCCTGGTCCCTGATTCAGTCTCTGAACTTGATCTCTCTTGTCCCCCCTTCTTTGAGTTGCCAGTCAGTTGCTTCTCTCCCAACCAGTTCTGTAAGCAGCTGGATTAGAGGGAGAAGGGGAAGCCAGGTGGGTTCCCATAATCAAGATTCCCCTGTGAACTTTTCCCCATGCTTGGTTTTCTCCTGGTCACTTAGGCACACTCTCTATTATGCAGCTCATTTGGGGGACCAGACTTGGGTCTGCCAGTTATCAGCAACCCAAGCATCCAGCTCCTGTGCCACAGAGCAAAATAGTTCTTTCCACTGTCCTTCATGCATGTAACCCAGAGAGATGGAAGCTTCCCTCCCAACACGAATACCGTGCAGCACATCTTAATGTTTTTTCAAGCAATTTTTCTTATTTCTAACTCTTTATACCCTGACACACTTCAGTCTTCCCAAGAATGGGGGTTCCTTTAATTACTTTATTGCTCCACTGCATTCACATAGGGTTTGTTCTGATTTGTATCTCTAGCTGCTGTCACAATATTAGGATTGGGGATCTTTCCCTCTTATTTTATTACACAAGATGTCCCACGTCTCTGATCTATTTTGAGTTTCCAGTGAATTCTCACCTAATTCTTGATCATTCACCCACCTTGTTGAAAAGATCCCTGTGCTTTTCTTTGTTCATGTAATGGATCTACCAGGGAAGCAACCCTCTATTCCACCATCTGCCTGAAACTCTCCTGAACTAAAGTACTTAGGCATAGTTCTTATGTCAACTGGATTATGATTGGTGAAGTGTAGTTTTTAGTCTATCTCAAGTGAGATCTGTGCAGTTCCTGATCCTTTCCACAGGTCAGACACACATACACTCTAATAATAAATTATTTTTACTATTTTACCCAAATCATTTTTTTGCTCATTTTTTACTATTTTATTTTATATATCTTCTTAGGTACACATG